ACAATTAAATTTCAACATAAGTTTTGGACAGGATAAACGTTCAAACCATTGTTCTCTTTCAGAGAACCACAGAAAAGCTAACGTATATAAACATATTGTCACTATGGCATTCCAAATGATTTTCCTCCTTTACATTCTTGCAAATGCTATGGTTTGTGCTTGAGTGTTCCACCACCAGATTGTATTTTCTACCCTAAAATTTTGCAGATATGATAGCACGTTATCTAATCAAAACCACTCACAAGTTTAACAAATCTTGAACAGCTGCAACTACCAATAATAAATTATTTATATATAATAATCATAGTAATTCATAACTGGTTTTGAGGATGAATATTCCCTGGGGGAAGGAAAACTACTTTTCAAACCAAATAGAGGTATGGAGGGCTAAATATTTTGATCAGCGTATTCTCAAACTAGCAGGAAAAACATTGGGTTCTTTTATAAGATAGGATGCATTTCAGTGGAATTAAGTATATTGTCTAATGAAAATATCAGATTACTATAAAGGTAAATCCATCATGAATATCTAAACTCAGGGAAAAAAAGGAACTTAGTATTTAACCATCTGATTCCAAATGGGAATCACTATGGTGCTTTAGCAATGAAACAATATATTTTGAATATATTTGATTACACCTCAGTGTTAGGGGCCAAATTCACAACTCTGCATTTTAGTTCTGTCATTTGCAAAACTAATCTGGGGATTAGTGAACATGGTGGATTTGAAAACCTCTAAGGTATATTGCACCTCTAACAATGGAATCATTTAGAAAATGCAGTATTTAGTGGAATTCTTATGCATATTTCTGACATTTGTTTTACTGCAAAGATGTCCACAAACTTAAAAGTGAGATACATAGAAATGGTTTCTGCTTAGGAAGTTTCAGATACTAACCCAAAGAACACCTTGAGAATGTCATTGTTAAGGTTTATTTCACGTTGCTTTTCTAATGTCTAGTTGCCCAAGGGTTTGTCAGGGCAGAAAGAGAAATACCTTTTAGGATGGTTCGAACTAAATTGCCACCTGTATTGCTGTGGTTCGATGTTACATTTTTCCTCACTATCACTGTAGGACAAACCTGGCTTTTCCTCCTTTTGCCCCCCAGCTGGTCCATTTCTCGTCCATTGTGTGATTCCTTTTCTTATCTGTCTACACAGGATGGTTCTTGGCTTCCCGCCCTTGTCCATCCTGTGACTCCAAGTGTATCCCCAGTCCAGCATAATTCTGTTGATCCATTTTAAGTTCAAACTTCTTTTCTCATGAGAATGGCAGTTCATATTGATCTCAGGAATAAATATTCCTGTTTTGTATGTCTTAACACTGAATTTCATATTACCTTACTGGTTTTATTTTTTCCCTTTTATTTCCCCCTGACTGATTATAGGGTTTTGTTGTTGCTTGTTTCTTTGTTTGCTGTACTGGAAATTGAGCTCAGGGCCTTACACATCCTAGGCCATATGCTATACCTAAGCCATGTCCCTAACCCTTCTGTTTATACATTTATTGAGATAGGTATCAAACTTGCAAATCTCCTGCCTCTGCCTCCTGAATAACTGGGATTGCAGAGGTGTATCACCACACCTGGCCAGTTACAGGTTTCTTCCAGATAGGATCCTTCTTTAATACATCATACATCTATGTAGCTTATCACAGAGTATTTGTCTATTTTTATTCTCTTTTCAAGCTTTATTCTCAGAATTTTGAAAGCCAAATGGTATTCTAACATTTCAGTTTTTTGAAGCTATTAATCACTGCTATAAAATAATGGTCATTATAATGCCATTTTGCATTTATTACTTTATGATAAAAGAATGCTAATTTTTGTCAGACACTTCTCTTAGGTCAATGTACAACTGTCCATCATGTTCTTATGCGTAGTGAGAGACCAGTTAATTTTATATTAGCCACCTTTGAGGAAGGAAGAAAAAGGAAAGAGCAGGGGAGGTGGGGGGTGTTGTAACAGACATGGGAGAATATGTTTTGAGGCTTAACTGGCTCCATTTCTTTCTTTCTTACATCCTATAAAGATTCTGTCAGGTTTTTTCCCCAACAATGGACTAGCACTAGGATATGGATTGTGATGTGACTTTTAAAACTCTGGAATTTCTTATACCTCATTCTACTTTTTAAAAATCTATCCCATTATTGGCTATGTACTACTAGTCAGGCTCAGCTGACCTATGGTGTAATAATGAATAAACCTTGAAATTTTAAAGGCTTAGTAAAATAAATAGTTATCTTTCATATCACAGTTGGAGAACTGGGTTTTTTTTTTTTTCAACTGGCTCTTCATATAAGGACTCAGGCACCTAATGTTTATCTGACAGTGTGTTCCAGGAAAGTTTACCTATTCCACTCTCATTAAAGAATTGTATGATCAGTTGTTTCACGAATAGAACCCGTCATAGCATGAGTGGTCTGAGTTATGCATGTAGATCATGTCTTCTTCCTATGGGGAAGTCTCTCCCAGGGAGAGGTTTCTTCATTTGGGGTATGTGTTAATTATTAAGTAGTAATTGCAAGAGAGTCTAAGAGCTTGAAACAATTAACGTGACCATGTTCTATAACCTAGCACATACTAAAAGGGAATTTGTGTTCTGAGAAACTTGTTAAGACTTATAATAGCTGGCATTCTCTTCTTCCTGACTAATCAACAGTATTAATGGGATGAACTCAAAATTTCTTTTACCTTTGCCTTCATCATAAAGATAATTTAAAAAATTCTTCCACCTGTGTGAATGCCTTGGAATGAAGACTTGATCCACTGTAATTCAACATTAAAAATGAGAGTTAGGAAATGTTTTCAAACCTGAAGAATTTGCTCTCTGTTTTAATGAACTCACACACACACACACACACACACACACACACACACACACGCTACTTTTGTTGCTTAAGTACGGGTTTAGTGGAACCATCAAATATGTACACTGCAAATATTTACAAGATTAAATTTCTAAAGACAGTGACTGAATTAAAACAAATTCCATTCAGTGACATTTTTCAAATATAATCTGCATTATTCTGTGGAGAGTCTCTTCCACTGTTTAAAGTGGCACAGCCTTAGAGATAGTATACTATGGGCCAATAAAGATATGCCATACATTATAAACAAAGGAGAAGAAATTTACTTTTTTTTCATGGTTTAAATAGAATGTTGCTGATCAATTTTTCATTTGGATGGTCTTTAGCAAGTGGTTGTTTTTCCTGGAGGAGAGATCTGTGCTTGCAAAACTATATAAATCAGGCAGTCTACATTCACATCTTGATGATCTTCAAATCACTTATTCATTTGCTAGAGTAAAAGCAGATTCATGAAATCAATAATTTTGCTATTTCTTTATGCTGCATACTTTTTCCCATTTTGGAGAAGTCCATAAATCAGAGCTTTAGCATTTCATCAGACTAAAAAAAATGAGAGCATATCTCTAGCAAATGTCTTCAGTTTCCTTTACCTTGTGTTTCTGTCTTTTTATATGATGAATTCTCAAGGCTAATTTCCACTGTATGAGGTTAATGTATCCATATACTAATGTCAATCATGGTGGCTTTCTGCAAATCATTGTGAAAACATTGTGTGTACAGCAGAAATAAGTTTACCTTTTGTTTGTATGAATTAAAGACTTGCTTTTCTCGTGTAAAATAAAATTTTAGGTTTTCTTTTTTTCAGGTACTGGGGATAAAACCCAGGGCCTCCTAACATGTACTCTACCCCTTGAACTAGGCTTCTAGCCCAGATCATTGCTTTTGAAATCACAAACAAGGAATTGAGTTGGTATAAGCAATTTCTAGGTAAAAAAAAATATTAGAAGTAGAGTTTCCATGATGAATTTAAGATCAAGGTATTAATGCATCAATACCTATCCTGACTTCAGATTATTATAGGCTCCCAATACTCGCCTCTTAAAGGCACTATCATCTTGTCTTTTACTTTTTTGTGTTATGAAGCCAAAGAATGTGAACCACTGAAGCTGCTGTAGTATTAACTATGGGAATATGTTCTAGAAGGATCCTATTGCATGCACCTTTTATCATACTTGAGATGTGTTTGTTCTTGGGTGAATGACTTGCAACTACACTAGAATATATGCAATTGAATATTTTCAATAAATACTTTCAGTTCAATGAATTTCATTGAATATTTTCAATTCAATATTCAATTTAAAGGATGAAGAGTTACTGTCATATTCTTTCTCAAAATGAAATTCCACTTTTTTCCATTTGTGACCCTCTTTCTGACAAAATGCTGAAACTTTAGCGCTTCAGTAAGGAACAGAAGCTATGATACTGACTCTGAACTTTCTGCATTTATCTGAGCTGGTGAAGAATTGAAAAGAATCAATTTTAATTCAATTAACCATAGTTTGTTTACCTAAAGATTTGGGAAAAACAATAACAACAACAAAAAAACCTTCGATCTCTGTCATGATCAGGTAAAATCAAAATAAAAATTCTGCCTAAATTTAAATATGTAACCCAGCCATGGCTGTTCTCTGAATTATAGAATTAGTATTTGTAGATTTGTGAGAAGAACAAATGTTGGTCTTAAAAGTTAAAATATTTTTTGGAAAAATGAAGGGAACAGGATAGTTGACAATTTTTTAATAAGAACTACCTTGTAGTTTATTTGAGTTATAATCACATTGCCAAAAAAGAGAAATGTCTAGTGTATGAAAAAATAAAAAATGCAAAATACACAAAATGAGGAAAGAGGGAGCGACTATTTTCAAGATGCCTGAAGTTCTCAGTGCTGGTTGGTGGGGGAAATCCTTTAATGTTATTACCTAGAACTTTTTCTAATACTGCTTAACAACTGTACAATTGTTCAAAACTGTTTATACTTTCAATCACTTCTGATCTTGTTTTTCTTCTTTGTATAAATAACAGACTAAGTAGTTGCTTAGTCTGATTTTTGAATAAATCAAGCCAGAATATCCTGACAGTGTACCAAACAAGATCTGTGTGGATAATGTGAGTTCTTTCTTTTTAATTTTAGAATCAACCTTGTCCTATGTTAGGCAGCTGGAGGCAAGAGTAAGACAGCTGGAGGAAGAAAATCGCATGCTGCCCCAGGTGGGTGACTTCCAGAAGCTCATAGCTAGTCAGTGTCGTTTGAGTTGTAGCTTTTCATTTAAAATTTAAAGTCTCAATTACATGTTCTCCTTAAAATAATAGAAATCATTTTGTAAATAGCCATTCATCATGTAGAGTGTGATAACATTCCATGATGGTCATCATATTATCCAGATTTCTAAGTGGTACACTAAAGAATATAGATGTCTGAAGTAAAAATGTGAAATAATTTTAAAAGGACAAAAACAAAATAAAGACACTTTATAGAACTACTCATATGCATCACGTATGTAGTTGAAGATAGGAAAGGGACTCATTAAAACCAAACATTTGCTAATTTATGAGCTAAGTAAAGTTGTAGGTAGTTTGTAGATTTCATATTTTAATTAAATTAGTATTTTCTAGAATTTTTCATGATATAATTGAACTCTTTAGTGGAACAAAGCAATGACAGTAATTGACAGTTTTTACTTTGGGAATCCATTTCTTTTCCCTGGTGCATGTAAAGTGGCACTTTTTCTGGGATATTTAATGTTTTGTCACATATTTTACTTATAAAATTGTTTCTGTAGGCTGTTAAATTCAAGAGAATGATTTTTTTTTGAGGTGGTAGTTTTCAGAAAATGTTTTGTTGAGCAATTGAACAAACCTACTGACTTTAGGTTAGTTGTTTCCTTTATATACATGATGACAGTGCTGTGTTTTAACATTTTCTAACAGTTTTCTAAGCCACTAGTGTTCTTTCCACATCCTGCTGGTTATTTTTATTTTCTAAGTGGCTAAGGGAAATTTACACCTCAGGTAATGAGTAAATATTAGTTTCAGCAAAGAAGGCAAAGTCATTTTATTCCAGGAGAAGAGGTTTAAACATTAACAGAAAGACATTGAACAAGCATTTTAGGTCTTTTTAATCTAGTCTTGTTTTTAAACTACTTTTGATCATTACCAATGATATGTGGTATCATGCACTGCGTGTGAGCCTTTTCTCTCTTCCATTGGCCAACTAATTGCCTACAAATCATGGAGTTAATGAAATGAATTCCCCCTTCTCAAACTCTGCTGTGTAAACACTTATAATGACAGAAATGACTATTTGTTTTAGGAAATAAATACTTTTGTAGAGATTTTTTTCTTTGCTCCTACTTTCTCTCCTCCTCCTCCTCCTCCTCCTTTTTCTTTCTTCTTCTTCTTCTTCTTTAAAAAAATTCTTTTTACCTTTTATGTTTGATTCATGGTATGATTGTGCTAGCACTCACAACTTAAAATATCTAACTTCTTCCCTATGACAAATAAAGCTAAAAAATATTGCCTATTATATATGGCTATGCCATCTCTCAGGCAACTGGGAATATAAAAGAAAAGAAATAGAAAAAGTATCACAAAATATATATTTGTTTCTCTGAGTAAGAATTGAGGCTTACATTAAGAATTGAAGTGCTAGCATGTATGCTATCTTTTTAAGAAAGAGGCACAATAGATGTGCAAATGATTATAGATTTGATTTTTAAAAATCTATGTGTTATAATCTTGAAGGAAAACACAAGAGTCTTTAGCTATACTTGAATTGTGTGAATATTTCAGTACACTGTTCATGAATACTTGAGAATAGGAAAGATTAAACATCTTATCAAGTTAAAGTGTTCAATTCAACAATTTTAAGTACATTGCTATTTTGCTAACAAGGAAGGTTGTTAATTTATTTTTCCTCCAAGAAATGGCTGAGAAAGATGATGTTTTATTGAATCTAAGATGTTGTTGATACAGGAAACACCATTGTTTTATGTATCATTATAAAAGAGAAAAGATATCAATTATAACATGTCAGATTCTTGCTGTTTTCAGAGATATTAAAATAGGAGATAATGCTTTAGATTTAATTAAACATTTATTTATTTTCATGCAAAGATAATCCATTGTTTGAAATATGCTATTGAGTATATGCAAGGAATATAATAGATACCACTTTAGCAATAGTTTTCTAAATTTTTATCAAGGAGTATTACCTTTTTTTATAGCTACGACAGAAATGAGAGACTCACTAGTTTCAACTACTTCTACAAGCAAAAATTGACATGAGCACAGATATAGATGAGACCCGAGGATTGAACAAAATAAATGAATCTTGGGGCAGTGACAATCATGTAAAGGGAATTCTCAGGAAAGGCTGCAACTTGACCTGGATGGCACAAAGACATGTACAGCTTATCTAGATGCTATTGATACTATTATAAATAATATCTGATGAATTCTCCCTAAAGATGATATTTCTGATTGCCTGATGTTTACTGCAAGGTTAAGTCAATGTTACACGCTGATGTTCTTAAATAAATTAGTTTCAGTATTTGAACACGTGATTTTCAGTTACATGAGCATGCTTACTGTGCCTTGATTAGAAGATACCTCTTTTTTTGACTCCCAAATTTATAAAGGAGTGTCCATTTGTCTTAGGATAAATGAGAATAAGATGTAGTTGGCAGTTGAAATCCCAAGTACATCAGATTTCTTTGGTGGCCATGGCCAGGTTCTTTGCTGATAGTGTAGACTTTTGGCTAATTATGGAAAGCATTTTTTGGGGATCTCTCCTTTCATAATGGCTATATTTATTCACTACAGAAAATTGTGCATAATGAACAGAAAGTCACAACTTTGCCCTAACAATATTCATTCTGATTACAGTAAAAGGCCTAATTTCTTTACTTGTAAATGATGAAGTTGTTCTTCTCAGCTCTTATATTTTGTGGTCCCAGGTGTAAATAAAGAACTGATGTCATATATCCATGCAGAGTTACCAAGTCCCAGAATGAGGGCTCTGTATTAAAGAACAGATAGAGAAAGGAAGTAGAGATTGAATTAGTTCTCTCCAGTGGTGGAGAGGAGCCCATGGAAGTGTGGGGGGTATCTCAGTACCTTACTACGGCGAGCCATCCCTGGTGATGGCAGTGTCTTAAAGGACCACTGAGCTGTACTTTAAATCTAGTTTGTAGATGCATTTCAGCAGTATTCTAAAGTTACAACAGTTCTGTTAGTTGTACAAAGTATAGTATTGCTTATTAGGCATTTTATTTCAAGAGAAAATGCCTCTTTTAAAAGTTGGTAAGAAATAATAAGGATCACTTGAACTTAGGCTCTTCTTCCTTGAGCAAATAAACTAATGTGAGCATTCTTCAACAATCACATTTAAAAATATTTCAAAAGATAGCATATAATCTTTCTTAATACTCATAATGCTAAAATTGCTTAGTCACTTCTACTAGATGCATAATTGAGGTGATGTGAACCCCAAATGAAGATTGTATGTTGTTTAAATAAATGTAGCTGATATCTATGAAACCTTATTAATTTTTGTATCTAAAAACATATAATTACCCAGAGTAACATAAGTAACTGTATAAATAAGTGTCTATTATAAAAGTTTTAGTTTTAAGGAATTTTTATCAAGATGAAGAGGGACACACCTATCTTTGTATACACTTACATATAAACACCAACTTTCTTTGGATACAGAGTAATAGATTTTCAGAGCTGAATAGAATCTTACAAATTCCATAAAACAATTCCCTTTTTTAAGTGAAGGCATATCAGGTTCACAGGTTGTAGAGATATAGTCTTGGTCAGATAGCTAACTTGGGATATACTCAGGTCAAGGTATAGCCTTCCGTGAAGTCCTTTCTACATATGCACAGTGTCCTTGGAAATCATTTCATGCCATTAATGTAGTTCAGTGTAATTAAGGTACTGAATCCATTTTAAGCTTATTGTCAAATTCATTTCTTTCAACATTTTACCTCACAAATTGACATTGAATTTGCTTAGCTGCTTAAGATTTGTTAGTCATTCATTCTATTCCTGGCTTAAGGGAATGTTCTACTTTTTTAAAGCAATGGTGTTTATCACCAATGAAAAACAAAATTGCATTTTACAGGGTTGTCTTCTCCCTGACACATTTCTTAAATACTTCAGAATCATAAAATTGTATCACATTCTCACAAATACTCTCATCTGCATGGAAAATATAGAATGTGGTCAGAGAGATTTTGCCATTCAGAGTGAGCTGGTCATGAACTGTTAGTTACAGCAGTGCTTTTCAAATTGAAATTTGAAAATGGAAATATGATGATTGGTTAGCCCAAATGCAAAACCTTGGTTAGCTGTCTCTCCTCATTCCATTGTGCTTTGCTTGATAGTCACGGGGATTTATTAATCCAGACGTAGCTAATATATTTATGTGCAGCATCTGCAGTGAAAAATTCTGTTTAATTAGAAAGTGTCTTTAAATGGATGAGGTAGAAGAGCTACTTGATAGCATTGTGATAAAGCATAGTGATGCCCTTATAAGGCTTCAGGTACTATTCAGATACAAACATGAGTTAAACTCTCTTTTTTAAAACTAACCTCACCTATTCTGTATTGACTTTGGATTTTGCATCATGAAAAGGGCTAGAGACATGAGGCAGTTTGCTACAGGTCCAAAGTCAATTAAGTACATTTGTTAAAGGTCCTGCTGGGAAATCTGTTCCCTTTGATCAAATGTTCTGGCAACAACATCTGCTTGGCAAGCACTATGCATGCTTTGTGCCTCAGAGACCCTTCCTGAAACAAACCACCCACCTCTAGAGACCAACACTTGAGGGCCAGTTTCCAGAATCAGTAAAGGCACTGGGAACTGCCTGGTGCCCTCTGCCTGCCTGCCTGTGTGCTGGGCTTGAGGTGACCTGTTTGAAAGGTACTGCAACTGAGAGCTCCACTGAGGGGGCTCCTTTCAGCAAGTATTTCTATTTCTGTTGTGCTAGCACACACAGAAGAGTCTAATTTTAGGAATAGAAATGAAAAATCTCCCTCTCATGTAATTTGGTGACAATGTGGCCTCACAATGCAGTCTTTCAGTGTGTTGTGAAGGAGGCAGGGCTGTTTCCAGAGCAGTTTCTGAACAAAAGAGACAACCTGTCACCATTGCCAGAAGTGCTGAGAAGGGCACATAGGAGCTAAAGAAATTACGCTTC